CCCCAATCCTAACCAGGCCAAAATCGGCATGGCGGGAGTCCGCGCCGCGAGGGTTTCGCGCCACATCTGCGGCTAGCTAGTCTGCTCTCTCCTCGATCTCTTCACTCTCTGCGACAGCGCGCGTATGCAGCGCAATCCCCTAGCGCTGCGAGCGCGCAAATTCAGCCGACGGTTTGGCCTGATCCCGATTGGGGTAGACTGTATTTACAATCGAACAGTGTGCAAATTTGTATCGAACGTTTGATCGTTAATATCTCTTTTCCCAAGAAGTCTTTTGCCTTGCTTCAGGTATTGCTTTGTAGAGCTGGCTTCAACTTAGATTTGTGTTATAGAATGAATCACCCATCTCTCTTCATTACTGTAGGATTACGGTAGAAACTTGAAACATGTGGTGTCAGCGTGGAAAAAGCTGCCGTTTCAAAATTTTTCAAAAAATTGTGAAAACTTGTGTAATAGGGTTTTTATGGACGCTGAGTTCAATACTCAACTATTAACAAGATTACGAAGCTTTTTAAACGGTGTAACTGCACTTTTAAGAACATAGAAAAAATGGCCGCTACCTCTTACCTGGCATAACTCTTCAATGAAGCATCATAATAAGTTGGGAACTTTACAGTTATAATCACAACTTTAATTAGCCTAGTGTAAAAGCTTTCAGGCTGTTTTATTTCCTTTCTGAGGCAAATATGGCCTTTCATTGCTTAAAACCCTCTTTGAAGTTTCTACCGTAATCCTACAGTAATGAAGAGAAATGAGTGATTCGTTCTATAATGCGAATCTAAGTTGAAGCCAGCTCTACAAATTGGTACCTGAAGCAAAAGAAAAGACTTCTTTAGAAGAGAGATATTAACGATCAAACGTTCGATACATTTATTTGGGACACCCCGTATATACCGGACGCTCTCTATCGCTACGCGGCAGATTCGTCTAGTACTCGGCAGCTTCGCTGCCTCGTAAATCTTTTGTTTCACTCTATAATGCGGAGATGGGAAAATTTGCCGTTTTGCACGAATTACACTTGCTTTATCTGCGCAGAAGGTAAAAAAACGAGGACATAATTTTGGCTTCGTCAGTTTTGATATCACGCAAGCGCAAAACCAACAGATCGATAAAAGCAGCCTGTGTGTCCCGAATAAAATAGCTTATTTCGGGCCCATTAATCCTTCTATCCTTTTTGTGTCAACATAAAGAATTTTGCAAGCAAAAGCAACAAAAAATTAATAAATCGATAGAAGCAATGGGTGGGTCCCAAAATGGCTTGTTAACATACGCCCCACCCTATGCATTGCGTTTGCCAAATTTGGCTCAAATTTCATCACTCCTTCTATCTTTTTTGAGCGAACATTAAGTATTTTCCAAGCAAAAACAGAAAAAATTAATAAATCGACAGAAACAATAGGTGAGTCCCGAACAAAATGGCTTGTTAACACACGCCCCACCCCATGCATTGCGTTTGCCAAATTTGGCAGAACATACGAGACATGATGAAAGAAGTCTGTTGAAGTATTTCAAGACTTAGTGATGTTAAGCGAGCTGAATAGGCCATAGGTCAGATTAATGAGCCAAAGTTGAGTAGGGCACTGAGAAAAGGTGGAAATACGTCACGTCTGCTGATATAAAAGACAGTGTAGTGTATTGTCAAGAACCTACTAGGTTGTAAAGAATGTTCCCGGGCAGTTTTCATACCTTCATTTTAAATCATTTCTTCCGCATTCGGTTGAATTTTACAATATCCTTTTTTACAATGTTCTGTGATAGATAGCTTGAGCTTTCTAACATCTTTTCTTTTCATCCAATCTGATCTATATGCCAGAAAAGGAATTCGACCGAACGCAAAAAATGATTCTGAAAAGAAGATTCCGAAACTGCCCAGGAACTTCCTTTACAACATAATGAGTTCTTGCTGTCTACGCTGCCCTCTTTATATCAGCAAATGTGACGTATTTCTAGCTTTCATCAATGACCTACTCAATTTTTGACTCAATTAAGGAAAATTGCATAACCGTTCTTCTTAGGAAAACTCTATTCCGCGTCAAATTGTTTGATTGCTTTTTATCGGTTAATTATAGGGTTTTTGTTGTTCAAAATGGTTTGAATTTATAATATCGTGTTTATCGCAACTCAGCCGACGAGGTGCGAGGAAACCTCTCGGAAGGAGATTTCAGACGGCTAGCGTAATTATTTTACCATATGCGGCGACGCTGACGCCAGCTCTGGCGGTTGGCTGCGGCAGCAGTCGGCTGCCCGGGTACCACTTGCACGCCTCCCTAAAGTAGCCTAGGGGGTAGACCGGCGTCGAAAATATATATGTGCGAAGTTTGGCGCCGATCAGTTCACATACAAATTTCCTAAAAGAACACATTAACTAACAATTTACCAACATTCAACTCGTATAACCTTGAGTCATTTGTAACTTAATACTTGATAGAAATTGCACACTAAGCCCTATTAGCGACGGCATTCACACTAGTAACTTCCCAGCGAAACATTTTCTAGCCTAACATAGAAATGTGTTCTACTGACTAACATATAACCAACTAAAACAATACAAACAAGGAATCAAGGAGAAATTAATGGAAATGAGCACTTTCTAGTTTCGCAGTTTTTCAGTCAGCATGTATAGTGTGCACTACGCATGTTAAGTTCAAATGACTCAGCGATTTGTTTAGATTACGATCAAAAGTGGGACAAGTATAAAAGTTGACTTTGTAAACTTTCTGAAAGACACAATGTATTCGGTTCTCAAAGGTCAAAGGACAACACGTGCCCCCCGTGCCCCCTCCCCCTTCTCCCTCTTCCCACTGGAAACCCTCTAAAGCGTACAGTATTCGCCTACTTCGACAACTTTTTTTCAATGATGACCGTGAAGGTTGCTCATAAAGATGTGTTCGAACGACAGAGGCGAGACAATGCGTGTTGTTCTGCTTGAATTGTGACTCTGTAAATCGCTTTCAGACTCAATTGAAAAACCGCACGAAACTGGTTGTGAGCACAAATCATCGCTGACTCCTAGTCTTTAATCAAGTCGATTTTTGCGAATGTCCGGCTAACCTCAAGATTGTTGGAAGTCTACATACTACGCAGCATGACGCGACAGCCTGCCACGTGCGCTGCGTACGCCGCAGCCTGTCGCGTCATGCAGCGTACGCTGCTGCGTCCATGTATTTCTATATCTGCTACTCTTCTTTTCTCCGAGTGTTCACAGCGAATGTGCTGCCATGGACGCATTTTCACTGCGAGCAACGTAAGCTGCGTGTGAGGCGCACGCCACAGAACGCAGCAGGCTGCGGCATACGCGGCGCAAGCAGCAGGCTTTCGCGTCCTGCGGCGTAGTATAAAGGAACCCTAAGACAAGTGGCTTAAAACTGAAAGCGCATTTTGCAGGATTTTGGGGTACTCTTCAAAAGCGTGTACAGGCACCTGTTCCCGCTTCCATACACAGCGGACAGGCTGCTCTTTGATTCCCCATAGATTGTGCCTCCATTATGTTCTTAATGTATGCGCAGCGACAGCATGCGACTTGAAAGCTGAAAATGGCAAAAGGTGCTTTGAACTATTGAAAGCGTGCTATATTTGTATGTATTTCTCGTGCTCGTTTGAAGACAGTGTCGGGGAAAAAGCTATTTTAAGAATTTGTGCTTACCCGGGCCTATTCTCTATGCTGAATCCGAAAATCCACACTGGTGAACGCAAAAACGGCGAAAAAAGGCTCTAATGCAGGATGGAGACCAGCAGGTGGGCGGAATCTTCCCCACTGTGGATTCACGCTCCCAGATCCGGAGCGATTTTAAGGGTTCCGATTTTGAGTCGCGCGCTCTCACTTGGCCAGCGGCGATATCAGAGAGATTGGCGGAATCAAGAAGATCGTTCCAAAAGTTCGGAGCGTAAATTTACAGTGAGGAGGACCTCCTCCGTCGCTGATATTCTTCTGCGTTAGAGCTCTTTTTGCCATTTTCGCAGTTTCAGTGTGGGTTTTCGAAAATGGATTAGCGAATACTTTGGGTAAGCACAAAATCCCAAAATCGACTTTTAATCCGGACGCTGCCTTTAATAACGTTGGAAATCCCTGGACAAGGCTGACCACATGTACGAAACTGCAAACAACTTCTCACCTTTGAAGCCTTCCCATGTAAGTTGGTACCTGGGAGAAAAACCTATAACAGTGCGAATAGTTTGTCGCCGCGGAATTTGGCAATTTACGAGTTGTCCATAAAGTCCCTACTGCTCATTCTGAAGATACAAGTCTGAAATTGGTACTTACTTACGCGGTACTTCCTTCACGTAGCATGTTCTGCCAGCGAGTGGCAAAAGAGATTTTATTGCGAGCGCTCGTCAAATAATTTCTTTCAGCGAAGGAAGCATTCTATTGCTAGAGGTGTCATCGGTGGTTTGATGACCCACTTTCAAAGAAAAGTACCTACGGTTGTGAGCTTTTTCACGAAGGACCACGCAGCCCTCAACAATTTTGGATATCCTCGCGGAAAGTTGAACGCGCTACTGCGCCGCAACTAATTTGTGAAAAGTAGCGATTCTTCTCCGAGAGTTCGTCTGAAAAGCGGCCAACACTTTTTCAAATATCTGCAAGCAGACCGTGAAAAATCAGCGATCTACAGTTCGGTGCCCGCTTGCCTGATAGCATGGCCACCAATCTTCGGCGATTTCCTGAGTGTCTATCATGCTGGCGAGGAACTGTGCTCAACGGAGGGTTTGTGCGCTGTTGATTCTACACTGAGAGGATTTGCAAAGAGTGCCGACTCCCAGACTGCGGCAAAGGCGAATCATTGCAGGCATCGTTGGCAACCTTGTGAAGCTATTTATAGATCATTTTCAGCCTTTCGAACTCGCTTACTAGCAAAACCTCTACGCGTTTATACTCTACACTATTGCCGCCCTCACATTTTTACTTGAATTATGAAGTCGTTAATGGTACAGTGAATAATAGCAAGGTGATGGGTAACACGTTTTATCATCTCCTCCCGCTTCGTGCTAGGCTCAATCATGTTCATTTGTTAATCTTATCCCGAAACGAGTGGCTGACACTGGAATGACCAAAATCAAAGATGAACGAAGAAAGCGGTCTGCATCTCATGCACTCGCTCGCATTAGATCACCAGATGAATCGGTTTGGAATAGGAAGTGGTGCAGGAAGTGTGTTTGTTCGGATAAAATTGGTAGATTTCAGATGAATCACGAAGCAGAGACTACGGATCCTGTCAGTATGTTGATGAATGCGGCGCGAACAGCAAACGATGATGTCATAATGACATATTACTTGAAACAGTTAGATCTTACATGCGTCGACGAGGACGGAAATTCTGCATTGCATATTGCTGCAATGGTAAGACGCTCTGGTTTTTCAAAAAGCGTGGTTAATCTTGTGCGATGTAAACAATAGCAAGGCAGATTGAAAACACTATTTTGACGAATGCAGACAAAAGGTTCAACTCAAATTACTCTCTGTAGTCAGTGACTTTCGCGTTTCTTTTTGAAAGCGAAGCAGGGTGTCAAATGCGGAAATGCTCATTCCAGTGGAAGAGCACAACTTTTTCTTTTTCAAGAGAGTAAGAACAACAGACTCTCAACTTCCTTAACCTTCTACCACAATTTTGAATAGCAAATGTATGATTTTAACCACCTCCATCTCAACGCTGACGTGAGTGTTCAACAGGTCAAATAGCAGCGTAGCAAAACTTAGTGTAGTTCAAAAAAAGGCAAGAAGTAGTAAAGTAGAATGAATATAAAATCTTCGTTGATTAAGCATTGCAACAGGTTAGAAAAGTAAAAGAGGTTAGAACATCATGCGTGAGAAAAGCGGTGGCATTTGCAGAAAATTTTAGAAAATGAGTTTAGAAGTTGTCTTCTAAAACGAAAGGTTGACCTGAAAACAGAAAAACTTGGAATTCATAGAAACTCTCAATTGTTTATGCTGTCAACCTTTTTTGATGTTTTTTTACAAGGTGAACAAGTGTCAACCAGTCTCGTTACAAGCAAGCAGCACGTAGATTATTATGCCTATTGGCTGTGCTCGACTTGTCAAAGCACGTGAAGGGAAATTTGCCGAATGGTAGGGGACTGGACGGTGCTAGTCTCTTCCTCTCTTTTAGAAACTTGATTATCTACCATTGCTTAAATTGGAATCTCAATCCTGCTTAGACAATGCTTGTGAATGTACCCTTTGTCTCAGTGGAACTAATCAATGACACCGTCTCGAGCCCCACTCGAGCTTGCACCGTTGCAAATGTGTTTTATGTCCCTCTCTTGTTTCTAAGGCCCTCTGAGCCTTTTCCACATAAGTGATTAGACGATGTTCGCAAACGCCTTGCAGAACCAAAACGAAGAATCGGCGTTACTAACCTTGAGCATGATAATTACGTATTGAGATTTCTGGAGCCCCCAAAATAACAAAAACCATGAAAAAGACATTCTGTCGTAATGAAACAATCGTCGCGTCATTGCGCGCAAGTATCCTTTGATTCAAAGAGATTGACGATGGATGGGCTCACGTTCGCACAGCCGTCTCACCTAGCTCTGCACGTCTTTCGAGATCGTGCTCTCTAGTGATTGCAGCTTCGCCTTTCTCACGCTCGTGAAGGAGAAAAGATTGAGGTGCAGATCCCAGGCAGACCACCCTCCAGCAGCCAATCCCGTTAAATCACAACAGTCGCGAATCTCGCTTGTCTCATTCGGAATTTGAGAGTGTTGTGCATAGGTAGCTAGCAATTTTTCTCAGTATACAACGTGCTTGACATGTGCTGCTCAAGAAAGACATTCTTTCAGAATGGTCATGTGTTCATATGCCGCATGCTCGTAGTACTCACATCACCGTTACGACTGTGGGAAAAAAAGAACAAAGCAGGGCTAACTGCGGAAGATCTTACCACAGAGCCACAGTGCGTCTCAAATGAATGTTTTTCAACACTTCTTCAGAATAAAATTTGCGCATATAACTCTATAATATAGTAGCCTTATTCGGTCTACTTTTTCTCGTTTCAGGGTCAAGCAGGATTTGCAGTTGCTGCGAAAAGGAAAGTCAAGAGACGAAGGTAGTTTGCACATCCATTCTTCCAACTTCAGCACCGGGATTGTTTTTACAGTGCGTTGTATAAGTAAAAGACACCCCCTAGAATTTTTTTTCGGCTTTCTAGATGAGATGTTGCATTTCTGTGTTTACCAATGTGATCTACACGTGAATTCATATAATAATTTGTCCGGAGAATAATGTCGCATGGCATCCTACCGCGACAGAATGACCACAAAAATTAGCGAGTGGGGTATCATTTGATAGAGCAAACAACTCTACAAGGTAGTTTACGAACCTCCGCGGAAATCTTGCTCCACGTGAAGTTCGAATTCAAAATATAAAAAATTTCAGATACCCGAAAAATCGTATCTCCGTTCATAGCATCTTAGGGATCTCCAATTTGCACAGGCATGTACTCTCCACACTAGACATTCGCCTGTACAGTCTGTGGTAATTTTCCATGGCTACAGTACGACGAACAAAAATAGGTCAAACAGAGTCGTCGTGTTCTTCGGGTTTTTTGCAAATGACTTGATTTTTCTCACATACTAGCGCTTGTCTAAAGCTGAAAATTCATGGTTATACTCCAAAAGATTCATACTACAGAATCACCCATGTGGGAGAAGCTTAGGATTGTTTTGGCAAAAATAAGCCGAATTTCATTTTCTCAATTTCCAGCCATGGAAAAACCGCGAAAATGTGCATACGAGTGTCTCGTATAGAAAGTCCATGCGTGAGCAAGTTAGTGGTTCGCAGGACTTTTCTACGGAGATACGATTTTTTTCAATCTTTTAGAAGTTTAGTGCCTTATGAAATTTGGCTCCAAACTTCACGCAGATCAAACGCGGTGCGAAGGTTCGCACTTCATTTTATAGAGCTTGCTCTGATCTATCAGCTGATACCTCACTTACTTAGTTTCGTGCGCACCCTGCTGCGTTATTGCATGATAAAACACGATGCGACATTATTTTCCGACAACCTAATAATACGATACCGCAATCATATTTCAACTCGCTTGCTATTTAGCACATATGAGCATGTTCATTTTTCCCCTGTCTCACAACCATAAAACACCCTTGGTGGAGTCGCCTTGAAAAGCTAATTCCATTCATGCATTCATTATTTGCTGATCAACGGAAGAAGTTATGAGTCTTTGAATATGAGAAGTCATTTGTCAATTAGCTAGTTGAATGGCAGCTTGAGGGCGCCAATCAACTAGCTAATTGTATAATTACAGCAATTATGAGTACTTTAAATACAAGGAAGAATCACATTCACCAGAAAGTAAGTGAGTAAGTGTCACTGGAACGTTTTCGTAGAACATGCGCTTCAAAAATATATGACGAGCACATCTAACCGATCTTGACTGCTTCCACAAAGCCGTTCGGCAGATAACATACATTTGTTTTTAACGCTTCAAAACGAGTTCAACCGTATACAGCTTATTTGGAAGACCTGGATTAAGTGCTGACCATTTCTGTTTAGCAATGTTGGGTTAGACAGCAAAATTTTGAATGTTTTCTTTGAGTTTCAAAGAAGGAATGCTACACAAGCCTGCCCCAAACCATGGCCATAGGGATACTGTAACTATCAGACCAACAGCAAAAACTATCAAGATAGCTTGGGCCAGGTTTGTCGAAGCCGATATCATCGCGGTCGGACCTTTTTCGGACCTTACCACCGTAACGACCAATTAAGAAAGAACGTTGCGTGAATGTACCTTACAGCGGGACATCTTGAGCCAAAAAGTGAAGTTCACATGATTCCTTAGCACAAAAAAAAAACATTTCAGATGAATTTACTCGCTGGAACGACTTGTTAGTTGAAAAAGTGGAATGGGAAGAAAACGGAAAAGTATTATTAGCTTTAGATGGAGGAGGTGTCAAGTCTCTTGTAGTCACACATGTGAATTCCCATACTTATACTGTATCTTTAGCATGTAGTCTGATCATGTGCTATTCCAGTTACTTATGTGTTTGGAGGATGAAATGGGTGTTTCCCTACTAAACTGTGTTGACTGGATTGCTGGCACAAGCTCTGGAGGGATAGTCGCGCTCATGCTTTGTAACGGTATCTTTGCTCACTTTGACTTCCCGCTGATTATGATGTAGAATATTCTAAAGAGATGCCTTTGAAAAACGCAAAACGCTTTTTTCTTGACTGGAGATTTCGAGTCTTTTGCGGAAATAAAGTGAGTTTCATGAGGAGAAATCATTTACATATCAGTCCTTAGTGATTTACTGTAGGTGAAGGTTCCAAAGCATAATGCCAAGGGAGTGGAAGATGCAGCAAAGTTTTTGTTTGGAAACAAACACATGGGAAATTTTCGGAAAGACGGGCCCAAGTATGCCTCAGCTACTCTGCAAGAGTCACCCATTGTCAATATATTTCAGAGTGCTCGTAACCGTGGCAGATACAAGGCGATCTCCTGCGAATCTTGTTTTATTTCGATCTTTTACGCCTCAGATACCAGAAGCCTTGAGAGAACGTTTGGACTATCTTGACCCAGAAAAAATCTTGGTTTGGAAGGCAGCTCGATGCACATGGTTAGTCCTAGATAATCATGATTTAATCATAAAGTCAATTGTAGTGCTGCTCCATTCTACTTCGACTCCTATAACGGACTTTCCGATGGAGGCCTTATTGCAAATAATCCAACACAGGCACTTATTGCTGATTTTCTACAAACAACTCGCCTTGAAAAGGGCTATGCACCAGTGAAAGTAATTGAATCTTAAGCTAGTTTATTCACGCCATATCCAGGATGCATTTAGAAAGATGGAGACCCGTATATTGCTTGCGTGATTTCAGTCGGCACGGGATCGACTCCAGTTGAAAATACCAACGGTGTAGATATGAATTTGAATAATATCATTGCGGTCTGTAATAACTCTAAGCAATATTCTTGAAAAAGCTGTTTTTCATTTAGAAAAAGAAGAATCCTTTACATATAGCGCGCGGTTTTATGACTGTTGTGAATAATGCCAAAAATATGTTCCAGATATTAATTAGCGAGGTAGAATGAGTGTTCGAGTAAGTATTCTTCTAAGGATGTCTTGTTCAGTGCACATCGTCTAGCGGACAGCCCGTGAGATATTCTCGTGAATGGTGTCACTCCCTTAATGCGCCCTTTTTTCGACTTTCTCCTGCCTTACAGAAACCTGTGCAACTCGATACAACTGATTTGGATGCTCTTATTGAGATGCTTTGGGAAACAGAGGTAATCTGTTGCAATTATTATTTTCGAATTAAAGAAGTCAGTAGCGTTTTAAGCAGGAGAGCTAGAAATCGATTAAAATTGTTGCACTAAGATTCTCTTACATCCTCATTCTTACGCATTATAAATATTTGAAAATTTTTTGTCATTTCTGCTGAAAAGTTGCATCTCTTATATAGCATTCAGCATGAAGCAAGAAAACTGTTGAGTATACGAAATATACCAACCCAACAAGAACCAGCCAGAAACATGCCCTTATACATTTTCGTTGTGCAGGCTCAGCTACTGCACCTTGAACATTTGCTCATTTTGATGTTATACAACTCCGTCGCTAACCTTAGCTATTTCAGTGCTACATTCGAGGTCAAGGAAAATATGAATTGCAGCAGCTTGCGAAACTCTTAACGAATAAATTTACGGATCAAATATCAACAAACGCTTCTGATTCAATCCAACGATTTTGATAAAGATTAAAATGTTTTGCAAAGGTTCCATTCAGCTGGACATATTTCTATGCTTGAGCAGAAATGACCTAGTTTAAGTTTCCATCATATCTTCGAATATAGAACAAAGCTGGTGCTCTTTAACGTTGAATCTGACAAAAGTATTCGAGAGGAAGATGACGTGTACAGTAACGCGAACGCTCAACTTTTGCTGTGTGCAAACTTTTCTAGGAGAGTAACAAGCAGACTAAACGCAAATATTCAGACTCGCGGCAATAAAATTACACGCTCATGCGATTGTACGTGCTCGAATTCCTTTACCTATCGGTGAGGAAAGACAAAATACACACGTGCAATGGCGTCGTGGTAGTTGTCCGGCGCGAAGAAACGCTAACCGTCTTTGACTAGGGCATAGTCTTGCAGCAATAGTCGACGCGATTTCAAACTTAGCGATGTCGCGTTGCTTGTGCTGCACCTGACGTTTGTACCATATCGCTGAGTTTATGACTGCACACTGGTTCAAAGGCAACGTCCAGGCAAGTCTGGACACATGGAAATCTCACGGAGTGGATCCCATGTGTCCAGACAAAGCGTGGATCCTGGCGCGAAAGTGCCAGGATCCACGCTGCCATGAATCCATGCTCAATACGATCGCGGGGAAGGGAGGAGGGGAGGGGAATATCTCAGCTGTTGGAGCAACCCTGCGCTGCCGCTTGGGCAGGGCCTTGGTTAGGGCCCCAAAAGTACATTCCACGTAAAATCCCCATAGGTCCAGATCTGCCTGGACGCTGCCTTTAACCCGTCCAGCCCGGTCTATTATTCACTGGGAAGTAGATGTTGTATGAGTAGCACAGTCATTGCGCTGAGAAAACCTCCTTCCCCATTTCATGTTGGATGGCATACGGGGAACTCCACTTTGGGTTATATCGCCCTCGTTTGCATGACTGTAGGGAATGATCCAATGCTGATTGATAAGGTTTTATTTTAAGTGCGTAAACAAACTAATAGTTCGATAAAAGTACTCCGTGAAGCGAAAAGTAGCCTATGTTCTCCGCCGTGTCAAAAAATATATGTGTAAAGTTTGTTGCCTATCGGTACATAAATTTATTTCAAACAGCTTACAAGGGAACGATACTTAGTGTCCGTGACCTGTTGAGGTGAGATGTATACAATCATACTGTCTCGAAACGCTGATTCTAAATCTGACTTCCGTTTCTGCTAATCGTTTCTCTGAAAGGAGTTATGGAGGATTTTCAAGCCAAGTTTGGCGCCCGAGGGAAATACGATCGGGGTGCGAGACCTCTGGTAGGCTGTGGTGTAGTGCTTAGAGCGATAGCCTCATAAGTTGATGCAGGTGCAGATCCAAATCCTTTTGTGTTTTTTAGTTTGCATTGCCTCAATCAATCTTCTTTTTGAAAGTTGGGCTTCCTCGAGCTAAATGCATGCCCTTCCTCTTGCACATGGAAAATTCGGAGAAACAATTACTGTCTGCCTAAAATGTATCTATTAATCATAATTCGAGTAAATTTACAACAAAACCCATAGTACACCGCAGGCTGCCTTGATAAGCACCCTGGTCAATTCCAAACCCCAGTACAATACTGCTTTTCGCGTGAATTGCTGTGTGAGTGCGAGAAAGCCAACTGCAGCAACTTATTCTTTATCAGGTGCGTTCACTGTGAGCATCTCCTATGATTTAATTACTTTGTCATAGATCTCCATCACTGTGTTCAACATGATTATGCGAAGCACTCATATAAAAATGACTCTTCGTTGGGTTTTTTTCTTGAGTAAGGGCATGCATTTACCTCGAGGATGCCTAACCTTCAAAGAGAAGATTGGTTGAGGCAATGCAAAATTAAAAAAACACAAAAAGACTCGAGTGCACCTGCATCAACTTATGAGGCTATCGCTCTAACCACTACACCACAGCCTACCAGATTTATCTGACACTGCGATCGTACAACCCTCGGGCGGCCAAACTTGGCTCGGAAATCCTCCATAAGTCCTTTCAAAGAAAACGAGCAGCAGCAGCGTTTCGAGACGAGTATAATGGTATACATCTCATCACAAAAGGCCACGGACATCAAGTATCGTTCCCTTGTTAGTCACAAACTTTGAGTTTCAAGGGGATAGGTTCGGTATTGGGTATAGCTCACGCGATTTGATCGTCGCGATTCCATTGTCGGTTATCTCGATGGTTTAGGCGACAGAAACAGGGCGGCATAATCGCTCAGCGCAAGAACGTGGCATAATGCGCATGAATTCTCTTTACAAGCACTGCGACTAGATGCACGCATTCTGAGTAAATTGTTCTCGTGAATGTTCTTTATTCTTTAGCTCTGCTCATGCCGATTGTGATGAGGACCGAGTAAAAAATTTCGCAATTTGCCCATTTGTTCTAGCGAGTCAAATTATCACAAGCTTACAGATTTTGGAAAATTCTCGCCTGCGGATGTTGGCTTCCGAAAGTAACAGCTTTAGCTAAGACGTTGCATTTATGCTTATTACGAACGTGTGAATATCCATTCGAGCAACATAGTAAGCCTAAATCTGCAGTATTTCAACATTTAAGTCACCAGGAAAAACACTGCAGAAAAAGCAAACAGTTAGATTTATTTGAACAACCAGTCATCTGATTCATAATTATGAAAAAATGTATTAAAACTTGACGTTTTTTATACGACTACTTCAGGTCCGATTTCCTTCTCTCGCCAAAAATGTGCTGAAACAACAATGCATGTCTATACAGAACACTCAAAATCTCCTTCGCACCTCAGTGATATCGCCCAATCCCCAGTGCAGCACAAGCAACGCAATATCACTAAGTTCTGCCGTTATCGGCGATTATCGTTGAAGAATATGCCCTAACACATAGCTGTCAGCGATTCGTCGCGCAGGACAGCTGGAACAACAGCAACCGTTGCAGATGGTGGATCTGCAATGAGTTTGTAACAATTGTCGTTGGGCAAAATCGGCGGAATCACTAGCACTATACATTAAGCCTCAAAGACAGCGGCTCAAATATAGGCAAATATGGAATATCCATCGTTCTCGGATCCCCTGAATGAGCCAACAATAAGTTCTGTGCTGAAAACTGTGCTTTGCAGCTTCAAAAGATATAATTTGCTATTCCGCACGTAAAAAGTGTTGTTTAGGCGGGAGGCGAAAGTAGGCCCTTAAAAGAGCAGTTGGCTCGTGGAGTGCGAGTGAGTGGAGACACCGTACCCGTCTCGGCGACAATTGGGCTATTGGCTTAGCAGCCAACTGTTCTACAAAAAGGCGTGCTTTCGCTGCCCTCCCAAACAACACTTTCCACGCCAAAAAAGCGAGTTTTTTGCACCTTCAAAAGCTACAAAGCATAGTTATAGACTCAGCTCATCCAGCGGAGTCAAAAACAATAAATACTCCAAAGTTGTCATTCTGCCGAGTCACTGTTTTTAGGGCCGAGCATATAGGCCGTACCAACCAGCATCAGTCTTGCGACGTCGCGCATGCGGCGACTTGCGACGATGCGATCTGGCGCGCGCGAGCTCTGCCACGCGTTATGGCACGCCGCATGCGACGGTGCGTCGTCGCAAGGCCTGCTGGCGCGGGACCGATGCCGGCTGATACAGCCTATACATCACGCGACATCGCCTCGTGATTCTTCCAACAAGACAGCTGTTACAAGAGACCGGTCGCGTCGAAAACTACTACAACCTGATTGCAAAATTGGTATACAATGAATGGACCCGGTCTTGCTGGGAGGCCCGCGAAGCGATGAAATTGCATAATGTATGTACGAACTCGGCTTTATTACCCACAGAGCGCATGATGCGCAGGGTTTACGAAGTTAAAGACACGCGAGCGCCGAGTTCGCGCCCGCTCAACTAATACTGCTTCTGTACTCGTCCTGCAGTATTCAGAACTTTCTTTCTCAACTGTGTGAGGACGATAATTTTCCAGGTGTCATGGTTTTTTTCATATTTTTATCCGGTCGCACCAATCCTGGAATAAGGGAACCATTACATTTCCTGAATCTCTTTTTTGTGAGTTTTTAGTGTAGGTTGCCTTTGCGGATCAAAATGCTTTTCCGAGTCATACACGCTTCACTTCCTTCGAACATGTAGTGAATTTCCATTCCGATAATCGTAAAGCATCTGAGTTTCGCTTGTGAACCTTGCAAAACAATGATTGCAGTAAAACGTAGGAATTGACAAGTCGGGTGGCGTAGAGCAAACGAATCCTTGTAATTACCTTTATCCGTGTCGTACCTACTTGTAGGGTTCGAGTCATAGTATGGATATCGTTTATAAGCACTTCTAGCAAGAACCGATGTACCTGCACCATCGCAATCGCTCTATCTGACTAACTAACTCTGCTCATTTGTCTGATTGAAAGAATGTTTTGAATGGTTGCCCTATGCGGCAAAATCTTTGTGTGCAAAAACCTGAGTTCAAATTGAGGTTGTACATTGTATAACATCTTCGTAAACACGTCAAATTTACATATTGGTCATACCTATTAGCTTTCAGATAGCCACTTTCCACGTCAGAATTTTACGAGGAGAGCAATTGTGGGAATCGATTTGTTGCGAATAGCAAAGTTTCAACACTTATCGCACCATCTATGCGCTTGAAAAACAAAATTTTTGTTCGATTTTTCAATCTAGAAGCAAGTTTACGGGCACCTAGCTGCAATGTGTGCACGTACAGCGATTGGTCAAATTATGCCCTTGTGCAAGCGATGAGCGAATTCGTCGCCCCGTTCCAATCGCTCAAATCATCACATTCCAGAATAAAATCGCGATGAAATAGCGCATACTTCGTTCGATGCTTAACGCACGAATGTGTTAATGTTCCTTTCACCTAATAAACTTGCAATCAGCAGTACAATTTTATAAATAAGCAAAATTCCAAATTGTTGTGTCGAAGCCTCACATCACACTCTCAAAAGCAGTTCGTCTACACCTTTCCTTATATTTATCAGGAATCTAAAACTTTACAATCTCTAATGAAAACTGATAGCAAGCAAAGAAGACGACCTATCCTAAGAGTAGT